TTCTACTATCTCTTTCGCTTCACTTTCTTTTGCTTTTAATATTCTTTTGCTTTAATAAACTCATATATGATTTTCTAACCGATCTTTTTTTGTTTTGTTATTGTTGGTTGTCTTCAAATTTAGAGTTTTTTTGTCCTTTCTTTGTGAGGATTTATGTCACGACCCAAAACCATGGGCCGAATCGACACTAGGGCCCAAGTAAACTGAAGACACGAAGCCCTAGTAAGCCTAACTCACATGAATTCAGCCCTTTAAAGTAATTTTAGGAACAATAAGCCCATAATATAATGTTATTAAATCATACTGTCAATTTATATCTCTGGCCCAGCTTTCACATTTCAAATGGTTCATAACTTGGGCCTATAACTTTTTATTATACCATTAACGTCATCCATAATATGGGCAAACTAGTACATTCATACTTTTAGAGAGCCAACTAGAAAATCCACAGGTTTATTAAACAACGCACTAATAACTTCTACAGTTTATTACCAAATATTTTATTTGGTTGGAGACTTTAGATCTTGATTTGCAGGTGAGGATCTTCAATTGATGGAACTTGGTAATGCGACATGTCCCTTCATTGATGCTATTGACGTATGATGGCGGAAACTCATTTGTATTGATCATATATTGCAAATTATTAGAAAAGAAATCCAGTTATAGAATATCTAGATTAGTTATTATTTTGAAGTTTAAATCAATTTAACAGACTAGTTGCTACTATGAAGATTTATATCTTTTGTCAAGATCAACTCTAAGCGAAAAGATCTAATATTATATTTTTGAAAAATAATTATTTCATCCCTGACATTTACCATAATTATCTAAGTAGTCCCTAACTTTTATATAAATATTTAATATGTCCCTGAGGTTTGCTTCCGTTCCACTAAATAGTCCTTCTGTGCGTTTTAACATTAAAACAGGTAAAAAGACTTAAATACCCTTAAATACTATCCCTACTATTATTTAGAACTCACTTGAAGACTTTAGTTGCAACAAATCTTCATCCCAACTGAAGATTTAATGGCAAGGTGAGTCCAAAGCATCTAACTTCATTTACTTTTTACCAAGCAAAGCTAGAGGTGTGTTTTAGATGCTTTGTTTCAAGCATTCGTCTTTAGGTAGAAGGTGATCATTAACCACAACAGAGCTTATCCTAGGAAATCAATTAAGAAGGCTTTGCAAGATGCTAGCATACAAGAGAGAGAAGTAACCTTCTTTTTGAGGGTTGGTTTAACTAATTATCATGATAAAGCTCTTGTAAAAGAAGGCTTAATAACAATTTGGAGCCCGATAGAGATACAAGTGAATCCAAGTGTCCCTAATCATTTTTAAGCCTTCTTTTCTCTCTCTCTCTCTCTCTCTCTCTCTCTCTCGTTAACCTCCTTTCAAAACCCCCACTGCCGCTTACACCACCATCACCACCACCCAATTCAGAGAAAAACAAGAACAATAAAATTCAATTGGAAAAAAGCATAAATAAAGATTATTCAGTAAGAGAACCAAAAGCAAATCAAAACCTCATTATCCAAATTGAAAATCCAATTCATAGAAAAAAAAGAACTGCAAAACTCAATTGGCAAAAAGCATAAATAAGGAAGATTGATAAAAAAAAATAAAAATTGAGTAAGGATCTCATTATTTGAATTGAAAACTCAATTCAAATAAAAATAAGAAAGAAATTGAGAATCCAAAAGAAATTATAAAAGCTTACCTTTAAGATAGAAATTGAGAATAAAAAAAAAAAGAAAGAGAATAAGTGTGAGGGTTGAAACCATTTTCAAAAAGATTATGAGAGGGAGATAGAGAGTTACCATGAGAATTAGAAAGAAGAGTCTCTATTATAGTGAAATTCCGGCTTTTTTTTTTTTTTTTTTTTTGGGAGATAGAGAGGTTACCCATGAAATTAGATAAAGAAAGAGTCTCTATATAGTGAAAATTCCGGCTTTTTTTTTTTTTTTTTTTTTTTTTTTTTTTTTTCCACTTTGGGTTGTCATATGCATCTCTAACTTCATTAAGAGCATCCATGGCATTTTAAAAAACTCTCTTATCTCTTTCTTAATTTCTATCCAATTTTAACAGTAAAAGTGAAAAAAAATAAACTGAAGGACTATTTAATAAGATGGAGGCAAACCTCAAGGACATCTTAAATATTTACAGAAAAATCGGGGACTACTTAGATAATTATGGCAAACTGCAGAGACTAAATAATTATTTTTTTCTTATATTTTTAAGTTTTAATTTCATTATTCAAAAGGATATGAATTCCTTTTATTTCATTAAAAGATCATCGAACTCTAATAACTACTAATAGTAAAGTTCTATGTCTAGTCTATATACTTCTTGATATTATTATTAACAAATTACATTTTCAAAAAAAAAAAAAAACTAATAAAAAAACTATATAAAAAAAAAGACAAAAAAAAAAAAAAAACTAATAAAAAAAGACATCACTATAAATTTATTTAAAATGTTGTAAATGAACTTGCTAATTCTAGTTGCTTCCTCAATAAACTAAATTTATTTTGAGACTATATATTTTTAGTTGTTCCTATTTAATTAATTTCATTAAATCCCTAATTAATATAAAATACCTAATAGTTAATATATATTTATAATTTTTCTATTTTTTGAAGGATAGTAAAAGGATTATATTAGTAAATTAAATCAAATTCAATCACATTGTTATAGTTTTCATTATAGTATTTTCTATTTTAGTTTGATTGAATTACTATGGATATATTATTATATGTATTTTCAATATTATAGCAAAAATAAGTATATTAAAAACGTGAAGTGATGCTTAGTAATATATATAAATTTGTGGGTATACTTGTGAATAGAGGATTAAAACCAGAGTTAATTACATCATTGGTGCCTAAACTTTTTTATTTTTGCTATTTTGGCGTCTGAACGAAAAAATTTTTCAATCAAGTGTCTAACGGTCAAAAAATTTTTAATCAAATATTTTTCGCATATGTGGCATGCCAAATTTTACATTTGGCTCAAGATGGGACCCACCTCTCGCCATAGCAGCCGATGATGTGCAATGAACAGAAAAACCTTTCTTCTTCTTCTTCTTCTTCTTCTTCTTCTCCGTAGCTTAACGGAAATAGATAGTAAGATTAATATAGATATATAAAGGAAAAACAAAAAAAAAAAAACTTTATCAACAAATAGCCTTCTTTCACATTTTTACCAAAAAAAAAAAAAAAAAAAAATTTTACCAAAAAAATATAGAAAAAAAGGAAAAAAGAGAGAAACCCATTCTTTATTCTTCGCAAACCCATGTCTTGCTCATTCTCTTACATACCGTTATCTTCTTTCAAAATGCCTAACAGCAAATCCCATAACCACACATGGTTTTATCTTTTTGCATCTCTTTATTTTTCATTTCGTTTCTTTTAAAAAAAAAAAAAAAAAAAAAGAGAGAAACCCATCTTCTTATTCTCCAAACCCATCTTCTCATTCTCCATACCTATCTTCTCAAAATCCTAACAGCAAATCCCATAACCATACATGGTTTATCTTTTGCATCTCTTTATTTTTCATTTCGTTTCTTTTTTACCTCTTTTCTCTCTCTCTCTCTCCTTCCTTCTCCTAAAATCCATCTTTAAGATTCACCATCACCAAACTAATGAACAAAGTTAGAGAATGAGACAGAGAATTTCTGAAATCTGAATCCACCATGCTTCTGTTATTGAAAATGCTTTGTAGCCAAATCTTTATATATCTGTTGATCTTACAGTCTATTTCCATAAAGAAGAAGAAGAAGAAGTAGAAGAAGAAGAAAAGGTTTTTCTGTTCATTACACGTTATCTACTGATGTGGCAAGGGATGGGTCCCATTTTGAGCCAAATGTAAAGTCTGACATGGCACATATACAAAAAACACTTAATTGAAAATTTTTTTTGATTGTTAGATGCTTGGTTGAAAAATTTTTCCACTCAGATACCAAAATAACAAAAATAAAAAAGTTTAGACAGTCAATAATGTAATTAACTCTTAAAATCATGATTGAATGCAAAATAATATGCTGGAGCATTATTTTTATCAGAGATATCCGAAGATACTTCGATACTTAAATTAGCAAGACAATAATGGATGGTTATAGAGGTAATTGAAATTGATTGAATGTACCTTTATGGTCGGTTTGAATTGAGGTAAAATGATAAAGAAGGAACAAACAACTAATGTACCTTTATTTCGAAAGAAGGGAGTCAAAGAGGGGTAAGGATAAATAAGGGTGTAAGCTTTACCTTTCTTTCCCTCAAATCTCAATTTTTTTTTTTACAAATCAAATTGAGGCGTAAGGAAAAAGAGGTAAAGATTTAACTTAACTTATAACTAAAAATAAACCAATCGCCTTTCCTTCACCTCTTTCCAAACATAAAAAATGTACATAACCTCTTTCTATTTTTACATTAATTTACCTCTTATCAAACATGACACTTTTATTACTATGACCCTCTTTACCCTTCTCTCTTTTAACCTCCCTTAAAATTTAAATTGAAGTTTAGAGGACTACTTAGAGGTTGGGTTACTATTTAGAAGTGCTGGTGATAAACACTTAACTATTATTTGACTTTTTTTTTGGTGTAATTCCTATTAACTATGAAATAAAACTTATCTCACGGCTTAAGCGGATGTTTAGTTCTTCTGGTGGCTCAAACTTGAATTGGATCACGACGTACAACCTTATAATAAACTAATTTATATTTGGTTGATTTTTTTTTAAAACTATACTATTGAAATTTCTTTAAGTTTAATTACTCATATTAAAATAAAGTTTATAATATTATTAAATAATTTTCATTTAACAGTACTTAATTTTTACATAACAACTTTACTTTTACTTTATTAATAATTTACTAAATGTGTTAGTTAACATCAAATTAGTGATATTATAAATAAAGAAATAAACTATTTTTTTATTGTTAGAAATGTGGTTGGACAATCCTATGACTGACTATACACGGGGCTACAAATACATCTCTGACTGTCAAAGTCCACGCTGTCATATGTTTTTCATTCTGATTTCCACCAAAAAGAGTTCTCGTATGCAATTTCCTCCCCAACTCCAATCTCCATAGCAGCAACAGCAACAACAACAACAACAATGGCGTCATCTTCAATTCCAAGCCTTCTGCTTCTCCTCTTTCTCCTCGTTTCTCCTCTCTCTATCTCTGTCTCCGCTCGACCCTGCAAAACCCTCTTTATCTCTTCCTACACCTTTTCAATCAAGCCTCTTTACCCTAACCCTAACCCTTCCTCCGCTGGATTCGTCACGATCGTCACCGAAATCAGCCAACAACGCTCCTACTCCTCCGATGTCTTCCTCGATGGCAAGATTTTCCGTTCTAATGACAATTCTGATTCTGAGCCCCAAAAGCGGCAGGAGAGTTCTCCTGTTTTTCCTTTTGGACTTTCTTCATATGACATGAGCTCCCTACGCGATCGTACTAAGGATATTCTTAGTGTTGTGGTGGCTTTGCTTTTTGGTGTTGGTTGTGGCGCTCTTACGGCCGCAACCATGTATTTGGTTTGGTCTCTGTTCTCTAACAGATACGATTACCGTTACGAGGAATTTGATTGCGAAGATGAGGATGAACATGATGATCTAAGCCCTAAGAAGGTTGGTTATATTAAGATTCCTGAGGTTGATTCTGTTGCCAAGCAGGTTAAAGAGGCTGTATGAGAAGATTTAGCTTCATTTTTAATTATATAACGAAGAATTTTAACTTTAATCTGTGTTTTATGGTTTTATCAACTGTTATTTCTCGTGACGTTTATGTTTATGGTTGAACAGCGAATTATGCTTTCTGGTGTATTATTGTTAGCAAGCCTATGGCTTTTATTGCTACGTGATGTTCCTGTGTTTATTACGTTTATTGTTGTTAGATTTTGTTCTTATTACATGTGGTTGATATCTGTTAATTAATCTAATTTGATGTTTCCAATGGTAATTGTTAATGGAAATTATGTTGATGTTTTTATGGTTTAATCTTGGTCTTGTGGAAAGAATTGAATAACCTTTTTTCATTCTTCATTGTTCATTTTTTGTTTTCTTTGTATGTAGCAACACCCATTCTCTTATATGTGTTTGCTTGTTTTGGTCATGCCTCAGGCCTTATGGCTATCGTTCATTGTTCTAATTAGTTGATTGGGATCGGCCATTTTGGGTCTAGTTGAGAAATCTGGGTTAGAGAAATAAATAAACGTCATATCAATGTTGGCCTGCCAATGGGTATTAGAGAAATCTGGCACTCATGGTTTGGAAATATATTTGTGGAACGGATGCTTTTTGCATGGAGTCTTAGATAAGTTCAACTATTCATTGAATGATTCTTGTTCTCAATTCAAGGAAATTCACCAGAATTCAGAACATCTACAAGGTCTATCTAATACTTGGGCAACTTAGGAACATTTAGGAGAAACTAACTATGCCATTGCCATGCATTGACCATTAATTGGTAAACTACAAGTATTCAATCGTGTTGCAATAAATTTCTGTGCCTCCCATTATTTTAAATCTCAATGACGGTGCATTTTGTTGAGAATTAAATGTCAATCTGGAAGTTTAAGCTTAACATATTTGCTAGTTAAGGTTGCTTTTCAAGCAGCAAATTAAGCATTGTTGCTTTTGTTCATGAGATCATCAGTGATGTTATTGTAGGGCATCTATACTAGTCCTAACTGAATCTTTACATGAATAACTGATCACTTAGGTTTTTATCCGTTATGATATACATTCAATCTTAGGTCAGAAAGATGGTTAACTGTTTTTTCATACTTGTGTAAGTTGATCGCTTCATATTTGGGATGTTAGGCACATTACTGAAACCATAACTAGTAAATTCTTTCTGAATGAAAGATAATAGAAATTGTTTGTCCTAAAGTCCTAGGTCATTGTCAAGACTGTCATTTGGCAAAATGTTTAGCTTTCTCCACTCAGTATTGATGAAACTTGAATTACTAATCCTGTGATTCACTTGTTTCGCTGGTTTCCATTGGGCCATGACCGTTGATTCCATTTCTAGAGTCATCTTTTGATTAGTTGACCTTCTGTATTTTCTCTTAGTTCAGAAAGTTAAAATTTTGAATGTTATATCTTTAGTTCTTATTTTTTCATTTGTCACTAATCTCTTGTCTGTGATTATGGAGCATGTTACTTTTATATACCTGTTTCGTACAATAAATTTTAGAAGTAACAAGGAATAAATGGTGATTCATCCCCGTTTGGATATGACTGGATGAAAATCTGTAGCTAAATTGATGACCGAAAATCTGTTTTGATGTCCCAGACTTGATTTGAGTATTCTAGAATAGACTATATTTTAGCGAGTCAATCGCATGCTTAAAATCATGGAACTAACAGTGTTGAGTATCTTACACATGAAACAAGCATTCAAATCTTTTCCTTGTATCTGCCGTTTCTTGGGTGTATTGTTAATATGCAGCATTCTCCTTCTGTTAGCAAATATTCACCTTCAAGTTTTGAAGTGTTGATTAGGAAAGTCTTTATGTTGTAAAGAAAAGTTATCCCCTTCTGTGTTTCTAGTGTGTTTCCAGAGTGACGAATGCAATCAATGGTTGTGATTGGCATTGGAATGTCCATAGGGTTCTTTGTCTCAATATTTCTCAAGCCTTCATTGAACTCGCGGGTATTATCAGAACAAGAATGAATGTGTTTGCATATTCAAGGTCTTATTTTTTAGCCCTTCATATATTTTCCTTTGTTTTTTGAATTTGTTTTTTTATTTCTTTTTCCGAAAGAAGAACAGTTGAATTTTTCCTTGAGGCTCTTTGGAGAATAAATAATCTGCTATTACTTTAACTTTGTTATATTTAAGCTGGTAGGCAAGGACTGTTAAGGAAGTTGCAGAGAAATTTGCAGTAGCTTAACATTTTCCTGTCTTGATTAGTTAATCACCATGGACAAATATTTTTCTATTTTTTATTTTTTATTTTTTTCCTTTCAGGTTGATATGGATAGATTTGAGAGTAACAAATAGTTGAAGCGTGTTGGTTTTGACTTGCCATTTGTGTGCATTTCATGTAGCTTGTGGGTTTCTTGGATATGGATAGTTTTGAGAGCAACAAATGGTTGATGAATTTTGCTGTCTTTTTTTACACCGAGTATTTTTATAGATTTTGACTTTTGAGCCTTGGCGTGTCCTTACTTGTTGGTGCAGGTAAAGGAGCATTGATATTTTTAAATTCCTCGGCGCAAAAAGGAGTGGATACTTTTAAAATTAAGCTCCATTTGTTCTGGAAATATTCATTTTTTTTAAATATTTAAAAATGTTTTCCAAATAACTGATTTTTTATTATTTTGTTGTAATATTAAAAAATTAGTTAAAAATGCAAAAAGTTAACTTTTTAATTTGTTATTTTATGTGACTATAAAAATATTTTCGGAATCATACAAATTTTATGTTTTTAAAAAATTTTATTATTAAATATGAAAGGAAGTATATAAAAATGATAAATTCTAGTAATTTTTGGTAACTAGAGATGGTACCAGACATTTTATTAAAATGTTTGAAATATGCTATTCTCGATATATGAATTAGTTAAAATTATTATTATTGTTTTAAAAATAATTTATTTATTTAGCACATTATTTTTTTTATTATAATAAAAAATTATTTAAATAAGTAACTATTTTTTATGAAAATTATATTTTCATTAAAAAAAACTAGGAAAAACTTAACAAGAAGATTCAACTAACCCAGATCAACAAGTCTATCATGACACCTAAAGCCTAAATCTTAATATTAAGTGAAAAAACTTGGAAAAGAAACATAAGAATTACTCACTTGGAAAAGAAACATAAGAATTACTGAGAAACATCCCTCCTAGACACCTAAAGCCTAAATCTTAATGTTAAGTGAGAAAATTTGGAAAAGAAACATAAAAATTATTGAGAAACATCCCTCTAAACAGTACGACAAGCATAAAAAATAATATCTCTTGTAAGAGAATAAGTCGCCATATTGACTTGTCGTCGAATCCACTTGGCATGAAAATCTTCGCCTTCACATAAAAGAGACTTACAATCCCTTATAATATTATCAAACTCATTATTGGGAACACTGGACGAAGTCAAACTACACCATAATATCCTATAATCCATTTCGACGTCTATACTAGAGCAACCTTCATGTCTAAGCCAGCTGAGGGCTTCACGAACAGCCAACGCCTCAACAACTTTTGGGGAACGACAACCCATGTACCAACTAGAAAAACCACAAAAATTCTGGCCATCCTTATTGCGAACTACAACCCCCACACCAAACTTCCCTTTTGCCTCAAAGATCGACCCATCTATATTGCACTTAACTCGACCTAAGGAAGGTCGAATCCACCTTGAGCTATCCGTCGGGACTGTAGTCCACACACTTGCAGAATTTCTTACGATTGAGCATGCTACCAGTCCTGCAGCTCTCTATTGGTTTGGCTCAACAATAAAGAAGTAGGCATGTCATTCCCTTTCCATATCAACTGGTTATGAAAATACCAAAGATAATAGAGCAAACTGCAAACCTTAGCCATTACCTCAAAGTCGACTTTACCAATGGTGTAAAAGAACTAGTATTCGAAGCTCAAAAAATAAGTATTAATAGAGATGGAAAAACGATCCCAACATTCAAGGGCCTTAGGACATAGAAACATAACATGTAATAAATTCTCATTATCGCCGCAATAGGAATAGTTAGTGTTAAGCTCAATAACTTTTTTCCGAAGGACCAACATATTAGGGATAATATTTCGAATTGCTATCCACAGGAAATTCTTAATTTTAGGGGGACCTGCAACTTCCATAGCTTAGCCTAGTTACTTGAAAAAGTATTAGAATTAAAATTAACAAAAGAGAGACCAACATAATATGCTGATTTAACAGTATAATCGCCCGATTTAGAAAAATGCTACATACAAATCAGCAATACTATTGCGACTAAAGTATAGATAACACTGTTTGGATGTTATCAACATGCAAAAAATAGTGAAGTTTCCCAACATCCCAACAGAAAGTATTAGTAATAAAATTCGAAACTTTCATATCCTAGCTACTAGCATCACCTAGAGGTTGCACATAAAAATTATCATCTCTAGGAATCCAGGGATCCTTAAAGCATGAAAGAGATCTAGCATTGCCAACCTTCCACCTCTTACCTTTCCTAAAGATATCCTTAGACCGGAATAGAATCTTCCATGTAAAACTGGAGTTATTCTTTTCCCTAGCCTCCAGAAAAGTTCCCCCTTGAAAAATATTTAGCCTTGGGTATACGACTGAGAAAGAGTATTAGGATTAGTAATTATACGCTAACCCTGCTTGCCAAGCATAGCTAGATTAAAGCATTGAAGGTTACGAGAACTCATACCTCCTTCCATTCTGCTAGTACACGTATTAAACTGAGACATCCAGTGAATACCTTTATTATCAGCATTCGAACCCTACTAAATAGAATTCATCATATGTTCCAACTCATGACAAATAGAAACCGGTAACTAAAAAACACTCATACAAAAAGTTGGAATAGCCTGGCCAAAGCAAAATTTCTTTATCTGCTTTAGAAAGAATCTTGTGCTTTAACCCACTCAGATTTTTTGAAAGTCTTTCCTTAAGGTAAGAAAAAATTTGCTTCCTCTTCTGGCCAATCAGGGAAGGAAGGCCTAGGTACCTGCCATGATTTTGTGGATTATGAACCTACAAGCAATTAGACATAGAGGCACGGAGGTCCTGCGAAACATTAACACTAAAGAAAATTCCTGATTAATTAAGAGCCTGGCCAGAAGCTTGCTCATAAGTCTGTAAAATATCATGAACTGCCAAACACTCCCTAGAATCTGCTCTAAAAAAGAAGAAACTATCATCAACAAAAAGTAAGTGAGAAACAGAAGGCCCACGCCTGTTAACACGACTACTATGGATAAGGCATGTAATTTCTGCTCTCCTAAA